CCCGCGACCCTCAGATTACGAGTCGAGTGCCTTAACCACCTGGCCATGCCGGGCCGTATATACTGTCAAACTGATGAACAAGTATGTAAAAACATACGACACTTTTATACAAGGTAAAAACTTACCTAGACTACTCACAATTATGATATCAGGCACAAAATGGCCAACAGCTGCCATGACCATCAAAGCAAAACAAGTGAAGGCACAGAACTGAAAGGAAGAAGTGTATATTTCATAGCTGAATGTTTTAGATACTTTTTATAATTGAAATCTGAAAACGGGGCAAGATTATTTTTCAATCAAATGCAAAAACCCTTTACAAGTCCTTAAAGTCCATCCAAATACTGTTACAATCCATTACAAAATTTACAAGTTCTTAAAGTCCATCCAAATACTGTTACAATCCATTACAAAATTTACAAGTTCTTAAAGTCCATCCAAATACAGTTACAATCCATTACAAAATTTACAAGTTCTTAAAGTCCAATCAAATAATGTTACAATCCATTACAAAATTTACAAGTTCTTAAAGTCCATCCAAATAATGTTACAATCCATTACAAAATTTACAAGTTCTTAAAGTCCAATCAAATAATGTTACAATCCATTACAAAATTTGTCATTTTTAATCTTGAAAAGTTTAAATGGTACAAACTAAGTAAAAAAAAATGTTTTTTTATTTGACAAAAACTTCATTTTTAAAAATTAAAATAGTGAATTAACATTTTCTATACAATATTACAATACAATTTTTTGATAAACATTTGTAATTGGGCTCCTAAAAGTAAGAACATCAGTTGTTTTTGCTTATGTTATATTTTTAATCCTATTCTCTAATGTTATTAAGAATGTACCCGAGGCATGGAAGCAAAACAAAAAACTTTACACGATGATCTCTTTAAAATATTGTGCATATACGCATCAAACATTTGACCACGAATGAATTTTCTTTATACTACCGTTATTAAGATCAAAACATTCAATACATACCTGTTCCACAGTTATGGTGCATCACACCGAGACAGAAGAACATTTACAACACATTATGCCACATCTGAATATTAAAACAACATGTCTCTTAAGTTGGTAAACAGAAAATTCCATAACATGCACATTTCATTAAAAGAAGATCCATTACCAGAGCATGAAACTTAAATTTATTAAAGAAAAACCAAACCTATAAAATCTTTCTCTCTCATGTAGACACAGAATTATCAATATATACAGAGCAACTCCAGGAAAATATGAGGCAGACTGACACCACTCGTCTCTCAACTGCATCACACTACACGTAGGTGACTGGTACTTAGTGATCACTTATATAAATATAACATATTTGTTATAATTGTTAAGATGCTATTCTGAAAGGCTTAGAGGCAATTAAAGCATTTTTCTAATCTAACTTGCCGAACACCTTGCACACAGTTATATGTCACAACAACTTACCAATCCATGATTAATTTTTCGCAGATGCCAATAATCACGTGCCAAGTTTTTGAAAGTTAATTGCCACTCGGAGAAACATAAACTATATCCAGAAAACCTGAAAGTTAAAGAATGTCATAGTTGGAACACCAATAAATTCTTCTGTATTTATCAAATCAATGGTAGCTCTTGTATGCCTAAAAAAATATATTCAGAGTATGCCATCAGCTATCATCATATTAGCTTTAAGAAAGTGTTTCTAGCAGACAATTTATCTGTTTAGTTGCACATTGTTATGTTCAATGAACACAAGTTATTATACAAAAAGTAGACTGAAACTAGTTTTTCTTTAATGAAGGGAATAAACATAAGATGTAAATTGACAGTTTTAACTGAGAGACTACTTTTATATAATGGGTTTTCACATTATTTTAGGCTTAAGAAATGGCTTATTAATACATGGAGAGTCAGGAGTTAAAACTTACTGGTTTAATGATGAAAATAAAACAGTTCAAATACTCCATAACTATAATGGTCCCACAATAATGTACAAGTTCTAGTTTCTCATAAGTGTTAGAAACAGGTAAACATTTCCAGCACAATCACAAGTCTAAACTACATTACATCCACTCTCACTTTCGGTCTTAAAATCATAAATACAAGGAACTGAGGCTATACTGAAACCTTCGTAACATACCTTAAACAATAACTGAATGCTAAAATCCCTTCTCGTATGCACTCTATATCTCAAGAGGGAAAAGTATGCACTCTATATCTCAAGAGTGAAAATCTTATATCACACCTTATATCTTGTACATTTAAAGCTAATATAAATTTGGCTTTATAATAAACACACCGTCCTTTAAAAAACAAGCTTGAGCTTATTTATTCTTTAGCTTAACACAAAATGCATAGTGAAATGCATTAATATTGCATTGCATTTTGTGCTAAACAATATTTGACCGGAAACAATTAAATGCCGTGTCTCAAGAGAGCAACCAAAAATGGAGCACAACAAGTTTGTGGCATTAAATCTCCAACATGTTAAACATCCAGCCACAAAATCCAACATGTTTAACATCCAGCCACAAAAATCTACCACGTTAAACATCCAGCCACAAAATCCAACATGTTTAACATCCAGCCACAAAATCTACCACGTTAAACATCCAGCCACAAAATCCAACTTGTTAAACATCCAGCCAAAAAATCCAACATGTTAAACATCCAGCCACAAAATCTATATCTCCAAGTTAATCAACATTAGACTTCCAAAAAAAAACTTGAAGTTATTTCAAAGCTAATAGAAAACAAAAACATACAATATTGACAGACAATTACAAAGTAGGGTAAATTACCCACAGTTCAAACAAAGTTGATTAAATAGCAATGGAACATTATCATTTTTGGATAAAAAAGTCCACAATAGTTAAAATTGTAAGAATGATTACAAATAATTACAAAGAACATTCAGTTAGAAAAGCAGTCTGAGAGCTATTAACAGCAGTACACATTTAGCTTATTCATCTAGTATTAGTTCTAGGTTTCTTTGACTCTAATTATTCTGTTTGTTAGTGTTGATTTGGAAATAGCATCAAACTCTTTCGCAGCCATGATCATATATATATATATATATATATATATATATATATA